CCAAGGTTCAGTGGAGGCAGTGTTGAAGGTGCAGTGCAAGTGTTTCATGCTAATGACATCATGGCACTGACGTGGCATGACAAATGGGACGTGACATTGCTGTCAACAATCCACAGAAACGAGATGGTACAGACAGACTGAGCAAGTTCAACAAAGAACCTATTGTAAAGCCAGCTGCTGTCGTGGACTATATGAACAATATGCGACTAGTTGGCAAGTGTGACATGATGATAGGGTTTGTTGACTGTGTGCGTAGGAGTCGCAAGTGGTATATAAAACTGTTTTTTCACCTTGTAGACATTGCAGTGCTCAATGCATTCAATATGTATGAAATAAAGAATGGAAAATGACAACGTTTTGCAGAATTCTCTCTGAATGTTGTCAAACAGATAGCAAGAAAGTATGGTACCACACCTGTACCTGCCCCTCAACCGCGACCTGTCACACCACAACCTGTCCCCCAACCACAGCCAGTGGGGGAAGTGCCAGACCGAATCACTCCTAACTGTCACTGTCTGGTACCAATACCACCTACCCAAAAGAAGAAGAATGCCCAGAAAAAGTGTGTTGTGTGTGCTACCACCAAAAAAAGACCCCAACAGCGGAAGGACACACAATTCATTTGTCACCAGTGTGGGGTGGCACTCTGTATGAATCCATGCTTCATGAAGTATCAAACAATCGTGGAGTTCTAGAAACATAAATAGGACATGGAAATACTTGTATATAGTTGTAGATAATAGAATGTGATTCAGGTGTGCAAAATCACCTGTCAGTATGTACATGTGTGTTTATGACAATATAATAATTTTGTATATTATATTGGTGTATGTGTGATGAATGGTTTTGAAAACCGACAAGTTGAAGAATTGAGACACTTATGCAACACATGGGAATCTTTATTGAAGAAACGTTTCGCCACACAGTGGCTTCATCAGTCCAATACAAAGAAGAAATGGGTAAGGAGAGGAGAAGTTCGAGGTAATCAGTCCCTCAGCCTGGAAACGATGTGTTCAGTCCATCACTCTTGGTGTATAAACAACAATTGGCATTGAAATCAAAAGATTTGCCATAAAACATAATTATCATATCATGAAAACCAAGAAAATTAAAAAAAAAAATGGAAGAAAACGGCAAATATGTAGAATTTCTGCAAGCGGCAGTGCTCCATGTTGCCGTCAGGTGATTGCCAAGTGCCAACTTCGCGGCCTCATATCTCGGTAAGTACAGACCCTAATTTTTTTTATTATTCTAAAACACTTAAAAAAGTGCTCTTTTTTTCTATATATATTTTTTTTTTTTCCCAAAAAAATATTCGCGGCGCTGTACGAGTGAACGTATATATACGTTTTGACTGTTTAAGGGTTAAAGAAAATGTGTATATTAACATAATATACGACATTTAATGAGGCTCAGTGATTATTATTTTTTTTTTTTTTCTCAACAAGTCGGCTGTCTCCCACCGAGGCAGGGTGACCCAAAAAGAAAGAAAATCCCCAAAAAGAAAATGCTTTCATCATCATTCAACACTTTCACCTCACTCACACATAATCACTGTTTTTGCAGATGTGCTCAGAACACAACAGTTTAGAAGCATATACGTATAAAGATACACAACATATCCCTCCAAACTTCTAATATCCCAAAACCCCTCCTTTAGAGTGCAGGCATTGTACTTCCCATTTCCAGGACTCAAGTCCGGCTATATAAAAATAACCGGTTTCCCTGAATCCCTTCACTAAATATTACCCTGCTCACACTCCAACAGATCGTCAGGTCCCAAATACCATTCGTCTCTATTCACTCCTATCGAACACGCTCATGCATGCCTGCTGGAAGTCCAAGTCCCTCGCCCACAAATCCTCCCTTACCCCTTCCTTCCAACCTTTTCGAGGACGACCCCTACCCCACCTTCCTTCTCCTACAGATTTAAATGCTCTCCATGTCATTCTACTTTGATCCATTCTCTCTAAATGACCAAACCACCTCAACAGCCCCTCTTCAGCCCTCTGATTAATACTTTTATTAACTCCACACCTTCTCCTAATTTCCACACTCCGAATTTTCTGCATAATATTTACACCACACATTGCCCTTAGACAGGACATCTCCACTGCCTCCAACCACCTCCTCGCTGCTGCATTCACAACCCAAGCTTCACACCCATATAAGGGTGTTGGTACTACTATACTTTCATACATTCCCTTCTTTGCCTCCATAGATAATGTTTTTTGACTCCACATATACCTCAATGCACCACTCACCTTTTTTCCTTCATCAATTCTATGATTAACCTCATCCTTCATAAATCCATCCACCGACACGTCAACCCCCAAGTATCTGAAAACATTCACAAATGTCAAAGACCTGGGAGTGATCGTGTCGGAGGATCTCACCTTCAAGGACCATAACATTATATCAATTGCAGCTGCTAGAAAAATGACAGGATGGATAATAAGAACCTTCAAAACTAGGGATGCCAAGCCCATGATGACACTCTTTAGGTTGCTTGTTCTATCTAGGCTGGAATATTGCTGCACACTAACAGCACCTTTCAAGGCAGGTGAAATTGCTGACCTAGAAAATGTACAGAGAACCTTCACGGCGCGCATAACGGAGATAAAACACCTCAATTACTGGGAGCGCTTGAGGTTCCTAAACCTGTATTCCCTGGAATGCAGGCGGGAGAGATACATGATTATATACACCTGGAAAATCCTAGAGGGACTAGTACCGAACTTGCACACGAAAATCACTCACAACAAAAGCAAAAGACTTGGCAGATGATGCAACATCCCCCCAATGAAAAGCAGGGGTGTCACTAGCACATTAAGAGACAATACAATAAGTGTCAGGGGCCCGAGACTGTTCAACTGCCTCCCAGCATACATAAGGGGGATTACCAACAGACCCCTGGCAGTCTTCAAGCTGGCACTGGACAAGCACCTAAAGTTGGTACCTGACCAGCCAGGCTGTGGCTCGTACGTTGGATTGCTTGCAGCCAGCAGTAACAGCCTGGTTGATCAGGCTCTGATCCACCAGGAGGCCTGGTCACAGACCAGGCCGCGGGGGCGTTGACCCCCGGAACCCTCTCCAGGTAAACTCGTTCTAGGCATTTTCATTACAAGATCGACATGCACTTTGCCTTTTCACAAATTATCGACTGCATAACACTATCTCCTGCTAACTGTTTTTGGTTGATCTACACCAAGAACAAATTCTCAACATCTTCGATTATTCGCTATCTTTTTTTTTGTCAGCATATCCTCCCCTTTCGCAACAACAGCTTCTTTGATGTCCTTTTTCTTCTCCACGATGGAAATGATCATTGAATGGGACTTCCAGTACATCCTGCTGAGGTCGGCCACATGCACTCCACCTTCATATTTTGCAATGATTTCTTTCTTTAATTTCTTTAATTCTATTGTGTTTCTCACCTTTACCAAAGGCCTGGCACTAGGATCTTTCTTTGGACCCATGGTGGCTTATTTAACCCTTTGACTGTCGCAACCCCCAATCCTGAGGTGTCTCCTGGTGTCGCAAAATTTAAAAAAAAAAAATTATTTTTCTTTTGAAATGATAGAGAATCTTTTCCCGATTGTAAAGACACCAAAAAAACGAAATTTGATGGAAAACTGACGGAATTACACTCTCGCGAAGTTAGCAACCTCGGCGATATTTACAAATCGGCGATTTCGCCCACTTTGAGCCCTATTTTCGGCTAATCCAGTCAACCAAACTCATAGCTATTTCTTCAGAACTCCATTTTTTCCATCGATTGAGTACAAGAAACTGCCCATTTACTGATTTCAACTACCCAATAACATGGTCAGAAATTTGCAATTTGGCCAATTTCACGAAAATTAAAAAATATGACAATTTCAAAATAAAGACCAGAATGAACAATGCAGACATTCCTGGCTCTAAAATAACATTTTCTTTGTTCATCAGTCATGTCTCCAAGTCCCTCTTATATTACTCTTGCTTTTTATTTTGAAATTTTATTCAAACAAAAAATAGAAGATTTACTGTTATGCAGACTACTGCAATATTGTAATAATTGTAAAAATTACATCAACCCATTCATGACTGCATATTAGAATGGCTAGTAATTTCCCGTACTTTGTGCTCCATTTCCAGGTTCTTTTTATAGTAAAATTAATCAAAATCACCTCTATTTCTATAATATGTTTTCCATTCTATCAAATGAGACCAAGAAAACGAGAATACAACCATAAATACTATACGAAAATAGACCACAAAGTCGGCATTTTAATTAAAAAAAACGGTCAGAGTTTTTTTTCTTATGCACTGCATGCTCCAGGATTTTTTTTATATGGTGCACACTGACCACACAGACCCATTCTCTCACATGTGGGCCTACCAGCTTTCTCCTGCCTGATTTGAAGCCGCTAGAATTTATGAGTATATATACGTCAAACACGGTACCTCGTAAACGTATATATACGGCTGCGACAGTCAAAGGGTTAACAGTTGCAAACACAAAAAAGAATGGAATGTATTATGAAATGTATCTTATGAGCATGTGGAGTGATGGTCACTCGCCCAGAAACAATGGCATGCTGACTCAGAATGGTGTGTGGAGTGCCTTTGTGTGCATGCAGACGCTGGGAGGCCGCTCAGACATGTTCTGTACGACCGACGAATGACGAGGCAAATCATGAAAATCAAGGCTATATTTTGACAAAAAAAAAGTTGCAGAGAGTTGAAATTCACAAAGCGCAAGGCTCACGAAACTCGGGGGTCCACTGTACAATTGTTATCAGATCATGTACATGTAAACAGTTCATTTTCACTGTAACACAGTTAGTTATCAAAACATCATTACCTAGTCCCTGGACCCTATGTAATCCTCTGACTGCTGCTCACTTGATATGTATGGGGTACATAATAAAGATACATATTAGTCTAACTTACACTATTTGCTTTGAAAATACTTCATATTTGTATTGATAGTGTATATGTTTTTGTTGTTACAGTATGTTGTTGAGGAGGTGGTGGAAATTGATGACAATGATGCCACTCAACGACGTCTCTTCCCCCATGCCAGTGATCTGCGTTCCCGCCTGCCAGCCAGGACTTTTCCGAAACCTGCTAGTGAAGATGATCTCAGACACAGCATTCTCAAACACCGAAGCAGCCCAAAACACAGGGAAGCACAGGCCAGACATAAGCCTCCTATATCTGCAAGACTAGGAGGGCTGGTGGGCAGGACTCTCGCTGAGACTCTGGGCATCACAGCTTCACCACGAAAGCTGCAAATCAAAAGGCTGAGCAAAAGAGGAGATAGCACAGAAAATGTTGACATAAAATCAGTTGCGCTGAGACTTGGGGACAATAAGAACGTTGTGAGTCGGCTAGGAGGCAGGTTGGGACACGAGGCACCCAGAAGCAACAACAGAGGAGACACTGTAGAAAGAGTTGATGCACTGAAGCTTGGAGACAATAAGAGTGTTGTTAGCCGACTTAGTGGTAGACTGGGACAAGAGTCACCAAGAGGCAACACTCCAGAGGATATAGCAAGTCCAGTTGATAAGCCCTCGTCTGGTCGACTTGGAATAAAGAGAGGCCAGCAGTCAGATGCTACTAAAGACTCTATAACCCACCGCATAAGTTCCCCTGACACAAGTGTCAAGAAACGTATATCTAGAGGTAACTTAGAGAAGACAGATACTGTACAACTAGATTTCACTATTAAAAGTTTAGCTGACATTAGAGCTGAAAAGCGGAAAACGAGCCCCTCGAAAAAAGTACAAACATTTGGAGTTAAAAATGGGACAAATGTGCATACTAATGAAGGAAAAGAAGTGTCATCAGTCAAAGATGAGGGAGAAGTGCGGGTCTTGACCCTGGCAGAGATACGAGCTTCAAAACGGCAGGCATCGGTCACCTCAGGCTCTGCTGCTCAACAAAAGAGAGCATTATCTCCGATAACATTTACCCAAAATTCATCAAAGAAGTTAAAGTCTGAATCCTCTAAAGGAATTATTTCCCAACAAAGTACAAATGCCACCAGCGATAGTTCTTTGATAAACAACTCTGCAGAAAGAAAAATAACCTTTAGTACAAGAAAGATTGCCATAAACCGGTCGCCAGTCAAAGTGGGTAAATGTATCAGTCAAACATCTGAGAAGGAAGTAGCACCAAGCACAGCTGCTGAACTGGCAGCTTCAAGAGTACAAGCAAAGACATCTATAGTGAACACATCTGTGTCTCACAGTGAACCAGTACAAGTCAAATCTTTAAGAAAAAGTAAAAAGCTGAGTAGCAGTATTTGCAGGCCTGCACCAACAATATTGAGGTCATCTAGTAAAACTATTTTATCTGAAAATGCTGATAGCAATAGCTTCATTTCTCTAGCAGAAGCTATTCCATCAGGTAATGCTAGTAGCAATGTCTCCAGTTCTCCAGCAGAAGCTCCTCCATCAACTATTTCTAGTAGTGATGGCTCCAGTTCTCTAGTAAAAGCTACTCCATCAACTAGTTCCAGTAGCAATGTTTCCAAGTCTCCAACAAATGCAGCTTCATCAGCTAAAGCCAGTAATGAAGTTCCCAGGTCTCCGGCAGTGTTGTCGGGCTCTTCTAGCAAAATTACCTCAACAGTTACAAAGACCAATGCTAGTTGTAATGCTCTACCTGTGAGCAGAATGGACTCTCTGATAGATGAAGAGGAAGCTCTGCTACTGGAGGGAGACATGTTAGAACTAGAAGATGTTGATGAGGACCAACTCCTACTTTGAGGTTTCATAGGTTTATAGGGATATTATTATTGAGGTTATAAACGTACAATTAGTTGACTCTCTCAAACACAGTCAACTGCACTGAAGAAGTCTTTGAAGACACTAAGGGCTATCATGAGAGGGAAATGTGTAAAAATGGCCCAGTCTTGCAATGGAGACATTCAACATGTCTCAGCTATCCCACATATAGGAGATAAATCTTTAAAACATAACTGGTCTTCTCTCGACCACTGTTGAGTGATGACAAGTTTCACCATTTTGGTCAAGGACAGACCAAGATGTGATTCAAAGATAATCTTCAAAGTAAGAAGCCACTTAGAAATGTAAAATGCAGTTAAGAGCTGTGTGTATTAAGGCCTCAGTCAGAGATTGTCTTTAGCAGATCTGAAGAGGAACCCTGACAGATGCCTAAATGTATACATCTCTCTGTTGAATGTTTCACATTTCTCTTTCATTTGTTTCTCACCCTGCAAGCTGTAGTTTATTAGTACTGAGTTACATGGGTTATGACAACCGTGGCTTGGTCTTGGACCTGGCTTTCTCTTATAAGCCATTGACCTCCAACTTGTGGGTTGTTTCACTATGGTATTGTCACTTTTATTCTTCAGATTATACATGTAATTTCTTACCACATTCTTTTTATTTGATGTCTGCTGTTGAGCATTTTTTTTTATATTTTAAATTGATATTGGAATGATATTTATCTGTTATATTTCTGCAATGTAATTAAGTTTTTATCTGCTTTTGTTCATTACGTCTGAAGGAAATTATTGAGTTTGTAATACATGATGGAATCTTGTAAATTATTCTTCATATATCACTTGTGAGTTTCTTTCTTTCAACTCCTTGACCCCTCATTTAATCTTGAACAAAGTCTATCTTTATAGTGACTCAAAGTAGAATACACTCAATAGAATACATTCCTCTTCAAATGGTGAAAGGGGGGGGGGAGGCTCCTTGCTGTGGTAAAGTGGTTTTTGGTCTGAGGAATTTGACCTTTCAGTCTTCTCCTCCAACAAAACCTAACTACCACTGTTACGAACACAGGTATAGTATGGCCTGCGACCTGGTCGTAGTGGGTTTCAAAGTGGAGCAGACAAATTCAGCAGTAGTATATAACTTGTATTTCCTTCAGATATAATTTGTCAGATATATACAAGTACGTACAGTGTACAGAGGTTGAATAGTAAGTGTACCACACAGTGACAAAAGACTGCGAAAGTAGAATCCAGAGAGAGTGCACCGTTTCAACCAGCAGCTCAGGCAAGTCTGTCAGTGCTTACCACAAGTGTACGGCATTGCTTCAGCTTTGGCAGGCTTGCCTGTGATTAGCCAATGAACCAAGGTACTGATTTAACAACAGTTACCCTATTGATCATTAAACCCTTGGCACCAGGTTTGCTGGTTGGTAGGCAGCCTTTGTGGGAGTGTGACATATGCCAAATAAAATGTAACATACTCTTAGCTTGCCACAACCTCCTGCTTCCCTTTTCCCTTCCCCATCCCTCCTTTCCCATTCCACCCCCTTTCCCCATCCCTCCCTTTCTCCTTCCTTTCCTGTTTTTGACTTGAGGGTCTTCCCTTCCAAAATTCTAGCTCCTAGGTTGGGGAAAGGGTGTCATTGTCCATCCCATTCTGTTGAGGTCCATGGTGGTGGTGATGTTTGCCATGGAATCTGGATCATCTGGGGATGTCCTGATCCTCCTCCAAAAACCCAGGGGAATGGTAAATTTAGGATGTCCTTTGGGTGACTGGGGTATCTCTGGGGGCTACCTGTTGGTTCCAGGAGGTGGTGGCTGGAGGAGGTATGCCATGTGGCAGACATTTGCCAAGGTGGCTCGGTTGATGTGAGGTTGCTATCTTGGATTGCCGGTTTACTGGTGTGAAGGGTATTTTAGGGCACAGGTTCCACACTGCATCTGCACTATCTGCCACACTAAAGGCCCTCTTGGGCACAGAGGGGGATATAAGATCCCTTCATTCCTCCTAGGAGCTACCCCTCCACATATCACTTTTTTTTAAAAAAAGAGAAAAAGGGAACTACAATGGAGACCCATGTCCATGAAATTCTTCATCCCGGACCCCTTTCTCCTGTGGCGCCCCCTCATGACCCTGTCTCATTATTAGACCATTCCTCAGACACCTCTACCCTTCATAGGAGGTTCCTTGATGTTGGTGAGGGGCTCTTGATCTAGGGAATTGGATCTGTGCTTCAGTTCCCTGAAATGAGCCTGAATACCTTTCATCCCATCCCCAACAGGCACTGTATAATCCCTATGGGTTTAGCGCTCCCCCATTGTTATAATTCGAATCTCTAACAGCCCAGTACCTTTTTCAGATAACATTTCATTGCCTGTCTCAGGAACCAAGGTTACGCTTAATTAACCCTTTTGATACATCTGACCTACACACGTCTTTGACCATGTTTCTGGCTTCTCCCTCTACAGTGCGATGATTTTGGATTGCCCATCGTTTCAGGACTAACCAGCCTCACCTAAGTGACCACAACAATTAATCCTTTCAGTGTTGGTCCTGTTGTATCATGGCTTTGAAGCCAGTGTGAGCCCTGTAGTATGACGCATGAACTCTTCTCACTCAGATAAGTTGTGAGAGGTAAATTTGGGCCTAGATAGGAGTGGATGGGTCTGTGATAAGTTTGCACCTTGCAGTGTATTTTTGTATGAATTTTATGGTTGTATTCTCAGTTTCTTGGTTTCATTTGATAGACTGGAAGATACATTACAGAAACAGAGATGATTTTTGTTATGGTTGTAAGGTATAATGAAAGCCAGAGTAACAGTAACATGTGTACTCTTGGTCACCATCAACAACACACTACTATAGACACTACAACAATAGACGATTGAACATATAGTATGTATTTAATTCTCTCACTTCTCCCAACACTTTACATTTCTCCTTTTCTAAATTACATTATATCATCACCACAGGTGGTATTGTTACAATACAAAGATTAGCTCATCATCCAAACTTACTTATAAATCCAACCTATCTGGAACAAATGAGATATGAAGGGTTGGCATTGTCCTGAGGTACAACCTTACCTCTCACTGTTGTTTTGATCATCTAACCTTCCAGGAGTGTCTTCCTGCATACTAACCTGATCCTTAAGTTTATTACCACAAGTATCTGTTGTGGGCAGTTCCTCTGACCATAAAGGTGCCCTGTTAATATGCTGACCAGGAATTACCAACCCACTCCTTACAGTTCCTGGTACTGTTGGAATCAGTGTTTACTCTACATCACTCCTAAACCTTGGCATGAATTGATCTATATGCCTTTTCCATATATTACCGAAACAGTGGAAGTAAATGGTATAAAATACCGACACAATGGAAAAATAAACATATAAGCCGTATAATATGATCCTTCATTGACAACATTTCACCCACACAGTGGGCTTTATCAAGTCACAAACAGATCTACCTGGGTGAAAAGTATGTGAGTATAGGATGGAGTCAGGGGGAGAATGCTGGGTAGGTTGGATCTGAACCTGCATGTGACTATCTTTGAGTAAGGTGATAGAGGCTAAGACCTTGGGTAGCTTTAAAAAGAGATTAGAAAAGTATATGAGTAGACCTTCTGCAGTGTTCCTCCATTCTTATGTGGGATAACGATGAAGTTTCTTGGCAAGGGGTTCAGCTATGTTATAGAAGCCGTTGTTTTGGTTGAAGTTGTTGAATATACAGATAAGTGATGATTCCAGGATTCTGCGGTATTGAGTGTTTTCTTCTCTGGTGATAAGTCTTGCATTCCTGTAGTTGATTAAATGGTTGTGTGAATTTCAGTGTTGAACACAGGCATTCCTTAATTGTCCAATCTGCCTGCGTACTGGTGTTCTGAAATGCATGTTTGGAGGTCTCTGGATGTTTCACCCATGTATAATTTGCTGCAGTCATTACAAGGGATTATGTATACCCCTGCAGAGGATTGAAGCCTGTCCTGTCTATTACTGGTAATGCCCTTGATGGTGGTGGAAGTGGAGGTAGATACTTGGAATGAGGTACTGTATTGGAAACGTGTTTGGCAGTGGAGGGGAGGACTATGTATTTTCTCTCGGCAGTATCTTCTCTGGGTGTGTTAAAGATGTCATATGCACGACGTCTGCAGTCTAATGAAGTGCCGATTATAGTGAAGTTTAGAAAATACTTGTTCAATTAGTGGGCATTCTTCCTCAAGGAACTCATTGCTGCAGATTCAGAGTGCACGCAGGAAAAAGCCTATAATTACACCACATTTAGTTTTGGTGTCGTGGTGAGAGTAGAAGTGGAGAAGATTGTGTTGGTTGGTAGGTTTTCGATAGACTTTAAAACGAAGTTCATGGTCAGCTTTGCAGAGAAGAACATCAAGGAAAGGAAGAGTGTTGTCGACTTCTTCTTCTAGTGTAAACTGGATTGAGGGTTCAGCCTGGTTGAGCTTGTGTTGGAGATCTTGAACATGGAAGCATCTGGGAGTTATGATGAGAATGTCATCAAAATAATGGAGCCAGGTGACAGAAGAGGGAATAATAGAGGAAAATTGTACAGCTTCCAGGTATTCCACGTATAGTTTCGCCAGTATGGCACTAAGTGGCAAACCAATGGGTTGTCTAAATATATGTTAAAAGAGGTGATTTTCAAAAAACCAAGAAACATGTTAAGCCAACACGTAGTTCAATAAGGACGATGAAATCTCTGGCTGAAATAGGAAGGTAAAGTGAATCGTCAGTTTTCCTGCACAAGAGATCGATGGTTTGTATAGTAGGTACTTTGGCGAATAGGGAAGTTACGTCCAGCCTTGAGAGTTTCATGTTCCTGATGTTGATGTTGCGAATGTGATTGCAAAGATCACCCGAGTGTTTGAGATATACTGGACTGATTGTGCCCAAGAGTTTAGAGACTTGTTTAGCAAGAATCCCTAAGAGTTGGTAGGGAGCACTGCCTATTCCCGAGGATATGGGCCTCAGTGGGATACCTGGCTTGTGAGTTTTTGGCAAGCCATACATTCTGGCAGGTTTGGGGTTGCTGGGGATGGTGTGCAGAAGTTTCTTTCCTTGTACTGAGTCCCTCAGAATGCAGCAAGTCCTGTGAAGAAATGTTTTGGTAAGGTTGTCCACTTGGTTTGCTTTGAGAAATTTGTAGGTATCTGGGTCGTTAAGTAGATTGAGCATTTCTTCATAGGACTTGCCATCGAACTCTTGCGCAGGAAAACTGGCGATTCACTTTACCTTCTTATTCGAGCCAGAGATTTCATTGTCCTTATTGAACTATGTGTTGGCTTTACATTTTTTTTTTTTTTTTTTTTTTCAAAATCATCTCTTTTAACACACATTTAGACAACCCATTGGTTTGCCACTTAGTGCCATACTGGCGAAACTATACGTGGAACACCTGGAAACCGTACGATTTTCCTCTATTATTCCCTCTTCTGTCACCTGGCTCATTATTTTGACGACATTCTCATCATAACTCTCAGATACTTCCATGTTCAAGATCTCCGACACAAGAAGGAACACTGCAATAGGCCTAGTGGCCCATGCGAGGCAGGTCCAATTCTCCCACCCGCTTAAAGCCAATACCTTAACCTAGTCAGGTCAGGTCACATTCACTTAAGGAAGGAACTCAGCAGCTGACCTAGTAACACATGCTAGTCAGGTCCAACTCACACCCACCCACACCCACTCATATATTTATCTAACCTATTTTTAAAACTATCACGTCTTAGCTTCTATGACGGTACTTGGGAGTTCGTTCCACTCATCCACAACTCTATTACCAAACCAGTGCTATTGCTGAGAGTCCTATCTAGGCTAGATATTTT